CTGCGAGGATTCTTTGAGGTTTTCTACCAAATAATAGCCAAGCAAAAATAATAATAACCAAATAATAATAACCAAATAATAATAACCAAATAATAATAACCAAATAATAATAACCAAATAATAATAACCAAATAATAATAACCAAATAATAATAACCAAATAATAATAACCAAATAATAATAACCAAATAATAATAACCAAACAAAAACCAAGCTCAATTAGTTTAAATGTAATAAAACCCCTATGATCAGTGCATTTAAATGCAGTCTATTTCTCTTGATGTACTAACGTAAAAAAAACCCCAACCTATTAAAATTATGTATATTAGCAATTGAGAGAAAAATGTTATATGAAATAGATTATTAAAGCACATCCATTATTAAAAGGGGTTTGGCCTTCTCAAGCTCTAATACAGACTTATTCATCCTTATTGGTGTTATTCCCCGGTCTTAGATGCTAAAATGACCTTTATGCTCGCCTACTAATGGACCGGCTGCATTTCTGGACTCCCCCCATGTGCCTTTCAAAGTAAAACCAGCTTTCCGTTAGGCTTACCGTGATGAACCCCCCAAAGCTGGTACTGCGCATTCAGAGCCGCGAGCAGGAAGGAAAACCAGCTCTCACGCCTGCACCTTCCCCCCAGCCGCACTCCCCACGCCGCGACCGGCCACGCCGACCCCATGGCCAGAAGCCCACGGCAGCAGAAGGCAGACTGGCCCCAATGGGCCACGGGAGCTGGCTTGCATCTTCACAGATTTTGCTGCATTTCACAATATAATTATCTAACCAGCGTGTGTAATAGCTATTTTCCATTCTTCTCCCTAGCAGGTGTTTTTCAGCAATATAATGCATTATTTATATTGTCCTGGCCACTTAAAAGGGATCTTCCATCTGCACTGGCAACACTTCCAACACTCATTAACATACAGTAAGCAGTTGTCTTACTTTGGCTGAGGTTTAATGATTACCACAGCAGTTGTGATGGCTCAAACTTGCTCCGTCTCTTTGGAGTAACAGAAAATTCAGGCTGAAGCTGCTGAGAAATTAGTCCACAAAACTTAAAAAGGGTGCATGCAGTTAAACACGTAGGAATGGGGTGCACATGACCATGACATTGTGGTGCACACACTACAAAGCCACATATTTTATGTATGTACAGGTCCTTTGCTGGCAGCCATGTAAGGCACGTGCATTTGTAAGAGAGCGCGGGCTGCCCAATATGCTTGGGACCCTCATATTCTTGTCATAATGTGCTTATGAAATTGGAAAAAAATTATATGGGTAGCATTCTGGAGGCCAATGCTCTGCCAAACGTTGTTTACGAAATATGAAGAAATAAAGTAGATGCACATTGGATTCATTTGTAGCTGCATCTGATTGCAATGTAGAACCTGAACAATACTTTACAGCAACATTTTTGGTTCAAAATTCAAAAGGAGAATATTCTACGTAGCCAAAGAAATGCTGTTACAGCGGTGGCAGAAGAGGCATTAGTGCAGGCGTGAGATGCTTTATTGATTGCGGTGGTACTTGTACGTTCAAAGCATCCTTCCCTTGGGGATTTGAAGAACTTTACAAATACCATTTAGCTCAGAACTGTGCAATGGAGAGATATAGTGTTGTCTCCATTCTGTAGATGAAGGAACAAGCAGCCCAGGAGTCTACCTGACTTTCCCAAAGGTGACCCGGCAGGTCATTGCACACATGCAGAGGAATCCAGAGGCTTCCCTTCAGCAAGCCCTAATAACTGAGCTGTTGTCCTTCCTGGGTTAGCGTTAAGTAGGACAACAGACATACACCCATTAAGGACTAATTCTTCATTCCCTCACATTGCAAAGTAATGCTATGACAAATTGGATCGTAAGCAGGAACGTGCAAGTATTAAAACACTCAGAAGCCATTTGTGCAACCCCTGAAAAAAATACTCACTTCATTTTCCCCTATTTATTACCTACAATAAATAGAATAATGATGCTCATGAACACTTCAAGAGAATGTTTTGATGTTATTTCCCTTGCAAGTCCTTCTATAAATCATTCACTCGGTATAATATAGCAGCTACCAACATTCCCATGCGCCACAGAGAGTGGGACTATCACCCATTCCTGGCTTAACCACAACAGTTCCTGTCCACTTGGTGGATCACAACCTTCTCCTGGTAACTGCTCGCTTTGGAGCAGCTTTCCAGGCATGTTCTGCTCCATAGGCTTCCTCAGCCTCCAGGGGTGGTGCGTCTGCTTTCTTTTTTAATGGTCGTTTCATGCTCAACTTCTTCCTTAATGTAAATAAATACAGGAGATTACAGACAGACTCACGGGAGCCCGCGGTACAAGACTGTTACAAGAGATTAATCAAGCCATAAACACCCAGACTGTGCATATGATGCTCCTTCCACAGTTCAATTTAGGATGGATAAACACTCAGAGGTTTCATTTTCCAATTACTACAATCAGAGATGGTTGGGATTTTCTAATGTAGGCAGCTGCTGCTTTCAAAGTCAAGGGAAAGCGACGAATACTAAAAATCCCCCTCTTTTTCTGCATAACCCCATCTGAACGTCTCTTAGTGGTGGAAAAAATGCCTAGAAATATCTTTTTTTTTCTTTTTTCTTAATGTTCCTGAACATCCTGACATTTGCTGGTATGGATGTGTACTTGACCTGCTAGCACTAGCATCTGATCCTTCTGTCGGGGAATTAAGGAGCAGAGGTTGGCTCTTTCAACCAGTAAAAAAACCCTTTTCCCGCCATCACAAGAGTTACTTCCACATCCTCATATGTTCCCTTCTGCCAGAAAAAAAAAGAAGGAAAAGAAAAAAAAGGAGGTTTTGACTGTGTTTAAAAAAAAAAAAAAAAATGCATAGGCCAATTCTAATTCTCAGCCACCTCACTGCTACGGAAAATTCATAGCCCAGAAGTGTTTCCCTTTTCACATGACATTTGTCCATGTTCCATTTCCCACCATACAAAATGAGCCAAAGAAAAGTCTCAGCTGGAAACCAATTGGAATTTTTTTTAATTTCAGACTCCCAGACTTGCCATGCCACAAAAGCCTTAAGTAAAGGACCCCGCTTTTCGGTATATTTGCATCATCGTTCCCTAGCAGGAAACCTCAGCAGGCAAGATCAATTTTAACATAGCTACACGAACAATTACAAGGTTCAATCTGCAGCTAAGAATATAGGCTGGGATTAGATCAACACATTTTACACTTAAGTAGATGAGAAGAGGTGGTTTCCAGTCCTGGTGGAGGAGTGAGGAAAATTTCTTGCACGGGATGCGAGGTTGGAAGTGCTTCCAGCCGCACGGACAACCCCCCTTGCTTTGCCAGCGAACTGTTGAACGTTGTGTTGAGCCATACTCTTGAAAGAGCCGTCACTCATTTAACTTCGGTATCAAATGCGAGATCAGGCTCAGGCAAGCTATAAGGGAATTATCTTTATAAAGTCAGTATCACCCATTATTTCCGTGTTAAACAGATTGGTAAACTGCATAGTGTAGTAACGTCATCAAAATGCTGGTATGCATCTGGAATAACTGATTTAATTGTATTAGTGAGTCAATAATACTTGGGCACAGACAGCACGCTTGCTACTTTGTAATGAAAAAACCATAAATGATCCCGATTCTGCCAGTTTTTATAGGCCTACCGTAACGAATGGGTAAACACTGAACACATTTGAAGGCCGGGCTCCAAAAGACAGAACTGGAGATAACAACAATACCTGTCTCTTGAAGAATGAGAAATTAATTTTACCATTTTCTTAATTGCATTCACTTGATTCTCTTAACTTCCGATCAAGTACTGGAAGCAATCCTGTGTCAGGGGACCCTCTGAAGGTTTGACAGAATGAAGCGTGAATTGGATTGCAGAGGGATTTCTACGAGAAGGGGGGGGACAACTTGGCCTCAATCCCTTTGTCCTCATCTCACGTGTCCCTGCATCGTCAGTCAGCAAGAGGTTCACTGTATTCACAAGACCAGTATTTACCAAGCCAGTTGATTTCTGGAATATTTGGGCCAATTTACTTCTACAAAAGTTACTTGTGCAGCCTTAAACAGTTCAGAACAGCGTGAGCTGATTTACTAAGTTGACCACTCAGCCAAGACTTGCTCTGGGGCCTTGTCCTGTTCTTTCAGGCAGCTCTTTCTGAACTCAGAGGCTGATACTGAGACTTACTGATACGGGGCTCCAGCCCACATGTATCTGGAAGCAATGGCTTCAATTCTGACTACTCAAAAGGAAAGAGAGATGATGCCCATGTACTTGGCCCTGTGCATGTTTCAAATTAACAGAGGAGTGAGATTCTGAAACAATCTTCAGCTGGAGTAAGGGTGAGGGTAGGCAAGTGCAACCAATATTTCCCTGTTTTTAAAATCATCTCTTAGAGACATGGTTTAGTAGTGGACAGGTACGGTGGGACTTGATGAGTCCCCATCCCTGGAGGTATTTAAAACCTGGATAGATGCTTAGGGACAGGGTTTAGTGGTGGGATGGCAGGGTTAGGGGAACGGTTGGGCTTGGTGGTCTTAAAGGGCTTTTCCAACCTAAACGATCCTACGATTCTATGATCCCTACAGTGGGACTGGCTTACCATAGGTGGAAAAAAGACTTGTGGTATTACCCCTTAGTTTGAAATACCAGTTCCATCAAGTTATATCACAAAGAGGCCGATGTATGGGTTTCTGCTTAATGAACAAGAAAAAGAAAAGATGGGACGTACTGTAGGGCAGGAGGAAAAAAAAATCCTCATGCCTCTTACAAGACGCTCCGTTTTGTTAGGCTGAAAAGAGAAGCTCTGTCACTTTTTCAGCAGCTGCCCCTCAGCTAGGCAGCCACTCTCCTAACAGCCTTCCTTTCTTGATCACTACACACTATCCGGGAATAAAAATCTAACCAGATAAATATACCCTACTCCAACCGCCGGTCATTCAGTGGCTGAAGCACGACGTCATCTCTCCTTTCGCATTGAGCAGGGTCTCAATGCAATTTGAAAGATCATTCTCTAAAAGCATCTGACTCCCGTCACAGGGGAATGCTGCTCCATTCATATCATTTAAACCAAATCAAGACCAAAGAGGTTTATTAATTATTAACGATAGGTCATTAACTGGCAATCAGTGAACTATACACTCAGGATGAATACAAGTAATACAACAGACGAACCGCGGTCCTGGGCACTTAAGAAACATTAATAAACCCACAAATTTCTGAACGCCCCTCTCTAGTACCGAAAAGTTCCCATCGCACATGGCGCACCAGCGCACAAACACCCATGGAGCTGCACGCTGAGCACCCCCACGTCTCTGCCACCGGCTCTTCTTTCAGTTTTGTCCGTTCAGAAGCAAAATTTCACAGCTCATTTTTGATTCCCCATTTAGCTTCCTGGATATTGCTTTAAACAGAAGAGACGGTGTTTCAGGATTCCAAAGTCTTTGCTTAAGTTTCCCTACTAATGTCAACCCTGTGTTTTAAAGGAACCGATTAGTCTATCCTTTAACTAATACATTCATTGTATTTTAATTACCTTAAAAACTACAAATGCAAGAGTAACTCATTTTTTCCTGTTTTCCCGACACATTATTGGTTTTCTGATAATTATATTCCAAATTAAATATTCCAAATTCCAAAGGAAACCCCTCTGAAGGTTTGAGTCTACCTCATGCCCATTTCTGATACTATTTACCAACATACCACCCAAAAATAAAAGCCTTCACCTTGACAGGGTAACAGTCCTCTACTTTCCAAGCTAACAGCAGTCCATGGCTGTAGAAAACCAGCACTCGGCACACAATACTAGCAGCCTATCTACAAAAAAAGTCCAGAATAAAAAATTATGCGCTATAATAACCAACTGCAGAAAAAACCCGTAAGACTCTTTAAAATGGGAAATTCTGACATATCCTCAGAAGATTTTAAGATACATAGACCGAGATACATAAATAATAACGCCTTTGAACTGACCCAGAAGACAGGCACAGCCCACCCTGCTCGCTGAGGTCTCACGCACTCAGTTATCGCCATTTCCACCGTCATTCCCTGGCCGTGAATGTGATCCCTGCGAGCAGCCCCCATCACAGCATTAACCCCCTTCTGACGGCCCAAAACAGGCTCGCCCAATGCATTCCGCCCAGGACATTGAGTAAAAACTCCAGGCTTGATGCGACCTCCTCTTTTGAACTGAATAAGTTCCCTCCCAAGAGCAGGGAGTTTGTTTTCTAGAGAGAGAGAGATTTCCTAGATAGATAGGGCTGTACACTACAGCACAACCATGTATCACAGGGAAGCACCTATTTTTAAATTAAAAAAATGAAACGCGGCTCTTCTTTTCCCGTTCTTATGGAACACCCTTTCTTCAGAAACATTTCACCTGACCACCTGCACACCACTGTGTGATACAAAGCCTCTTGGTAAACATGACTTCCACCGGGGGCTTGCTGCTAATAGGTATGTTATTAATGGCCCCTAAAATATAGATTTGGGGATTGTTAGGAAGGTCATATCGACTCTCATTATTTCCTTCCAGACAGTCTCATCTGAGGCAGCCTAATGGATTAGAAGGCAACCAATACAGCCCAGACTGCTGAGTAATTCTCGTATTCGCTTTCTTAGCTCCGGACAGGCCCCTAGCACTGGAACAGCTACGGGCGCGTAACCACCGGGCGCAGAGACGCGGGCATTTCTGCACGGCTATACCTTTGGTGCACAAGCTCATTTTTTCCTGTCTGCCCTTAACCCCCTTGTTACCCTGGTCAATGGAAGACTGAACCATCCATCAATCCTAGCCTTGCACTGAACTTTCTGATGGCAAAAGGGGGGGGTGGGTGTTGTGTCTTCTTTTCATTTATTAAACATCATTCACTTCAGCTCGGAAGATATTTGACGAGGTTTTTCTTTATGCCCAGAAAATGTAACTGTGCTTTAAAAATATGCAAAACCAGAAATATACACAAATAAATTTTTATTTGTGTATTTTTACATATTTATATTACTGCTCGATACGGAAAAGTTCATACGGTGAAGATGACAATCCATCTTCAACATAAGCCTGAATCCCCTGGAGTCACTATTTAGTTTAGAGCAATTGGTCTTGTGCTCTGACTGATGTCAAGGAGACTTGTGTAATTATTTGCGTTAATGCATTTGTTTTTCTAATTTCAGCATGTGGCAAATTGATGAAAATTACAGGCCCCATTACAGTCAAGATATCCGGAACCCGATTTGGAGCCTGGATGACGGATCCATTAGCATCGGAGAAAAATAACAGAGTATGTTAAGGCACTGAATATCTTTGTGTCCTTCTGGAGTTTTACTTGCTCGATTTTAATCTTTAAAAAGATATTTTCCCCCCAGGAGGTTACTCTCGGAAGCGTGTTTTTTTCTACTTCCGTCATTTTCACTGTTAAACATCTTCCGAGAAAAAGCAACAGCGTTCGTGGAAGAATATCCCAAGACAAAAGCTGGCTAAGCACCTTTGTGCCATTCCAGGGGTGGCACACACCTACCTGAACTAACTACACAATTTTTGTCTTCCTACCGTTTTTAACTGAGCTTGGGTCTTTAAGAACCCAAGTAATACAACCCAAACATCAACTTTTCTACCCAAGAGCATAAACCATAATGCAGCACAGCCAAAATCTGCAGGATTAGGCTCCATGTAAGCTGTATTCAGACCATTTGCTGCCTGAGATCCAAGTTACGTTATTGTTTGGATCTGCAATCAGATCTCAAATTTGGCCACAGCTTTGAGGAGGTGCTCCCTCCATCAAAGGGCTTTGGACTCAAATCACAAGGTCTCATTTGCCTGAGAGCCAGAAGGTCCATTTTTTGAATACAGAAAAAAACCAAAGGCAATAGAAAAGACAACACACAAATGGTAATAACTACAGATTTGCACCCGTGCCCCGCACACCCCACAGCCCCCTCCCCAGGCAGCCTCCCCGTTGCCCCCCCCACAACACAAAGGCTGCCCGTGTGTGTGTGCAAATCCAAACCAACTATATCCCTCGCAGCACCTCAACAAATCGGAAGATGGGGAGCTAAACTGGCGTTTACACAAAAATTCTGTTGATGCCAGTTTTGAAATTGGCACAAAAAATATCTCCAGAAATTATTCTTTGTGAGTCAGGATTTGATTTGTCCTCTGCCAAACTAAAGGGAGAAAAGGCAAAATGCTTGAAGAAAAAAGATGGGGAATAGAAGTTGGCATACAGAACATTAAAAAAAAGTATTGATTTTTTTTTTCTCTTGTTTTATGGGAAAAAATGGTTCCTAAACTTTACTGGTTTCACTGCTATTATATTTGGTTTCTTCACTAATGCACTATTTTTTACCATTCAGAGATTCAGCTGAAGAGAAGTCAATGATACCTATTTCTAAGCATAGCTTAACTCACCTGCCATTTCCCACCTCTCTCTTTGATTATTAGTCTCTGGAAATATCTTTAAGCAAGTCCCATACAGCAGAGACCCAAACAATGAATAATCCAAAATTAAATTTCTCTGAAAATGTAGACACTGTAGTTACTACCAGCTTTTCTGAGAGTCCACCTGCCTAGGTACATTTTGGTTCAGAAATTCAAGAGTTCCTCATGCCTTTGTAACAGGAACACGGATGGTGGTGTATTTTGATAGCCTGCTGCACACCTAAAACCTATTTTTCCTTTTTTCTGCGATGTATCCACCGTGCCGTATCGTGATCACGTACCACAGATTGCATTCCAGGTCTTTACTCCCAATCTTTGTTTTCTTTCCAGGTCTGGTACATGGATAGTTACACTAACAATAAAATTGTCCGTGAATATAAATCGATCGCAGACTTTGTCAGTGGGGCTGAATCAAGGACATACAACCTTCCGTTCAAATGGGCAGGAACCAACCACGTCGTCTACAATGGCTCCCTCTATTTCAACAAGTATCAGAGCAACATCATCATCAAATACAGCTTTGACACTGGGCGGGTGCTTGCACAGCGTAGCCTTGAGTATGCTGGCTTTCACAATGTCTACCCTTACACCTGGGGGGGCTTTTCTGATATCGACCTGATGGCCGACGAAATTGGGCTATGGGCTGTGTATGCCACCAACCAGAATGCAGGCAACATTGTCATCAGCCAGCTAAACCAGGATACGCTGGAGGTGCTGAAGAGCTGGAGCACAGGCTACCCAAAGAGAAGCGCTGGAGAGTCCTTCATGATCTGCGGCACCCTGTACGTTACTAACTCGCACCTAACGGGAGCCAAGGTCTACTACTCCTATTCCACAAAAACCTCCACTTACGAGTACACAGACATTCCTTTCCATAACCAGTATTTTCATATATCCATGCTTGACTACAATGCGAGAGATAGAGCTCTCTATGCCTGGAATAACGGACATCAAGTCCTGTTTAACGTCACCCTTTTCCACGTCATTAAAACTGAAGATGACACATAATTTTCTTTCCCTTCCCTTTCCCTCACCTCCCTCCCTCAAAGCAGTGTCATTTGTGATAAACTCCAAAGCATCCACCTCTCTCAGTTCCTTTTAATTTACATTTCTTTTTTCATTACGGAAAAGCAACATTTTCTACCATATAATGCATTTCAAATACGGCTGAGCCTGTCAAAAGTGACCTGTTGGAAATAAAAGCATCTTAACTCATGGTTGTACAAGGCCTATCGAGACCTTGTCTTGAAAAGCACTAAAGAGGATTGCAGTGGCTAAAGACGCTTTTAAAAAGATTATGATCTGCCTTATTTTAGAGTCAGAGACTACTGGTGGCTTAAATGCATGAATGTCTTTTTTTACCTCATGTTTGGTTTTGATCTATTGCTCAACTTCAGGAAATATTTTGGTAGTGTCAGACACATATTGCACATTGTATTTTTTTTTTTTGTATTTATTCCAAAAGAAAGACTTAGGAATTTCATTTACCTGGACATGGAGTACAATTCATTTTGCCATCACCCAACTTCAGATGTGGTGCTGTACAGTATGTTTTTAAATCTCTTGCAAACATTTTATCGACAGTATGTATTTCTACCATTGTAACCACCATTGTGCAATTGTACCTCTTCACTTATGTGAAAGTAAACTAAGTACTATTTTTTATAAAATATATTGAAGCTTAATTGCAGTTCTGGCTATGGGTCAATTGAAAGTGGTAAAAATCAAAGAAAAGGCTGTTATTTCTGAGAAAGACCTCTCGTTTCTCAGGTGCATGGTCCCTAATCTCAGCTTTGCTTGGTAGACCCCTTCTTACTCACTATTACGGGCAAATTTGCAGCTCTGAGGCCTCACACCAGTCCCAGCTTTCCAACTGTTTGCCCTGCCCGATTTTTATCTTACGCTGCTGGCTTCTCTCTCCCTCCATCTCTTTTTCCCCTACTCCCCTTCCTTCCACTGCTTGTTTGTGCTCACTCCCTGAGCTGGGCTTTACAAGAGAGAACCTGCAAGCGGGGTGCTGCCCGTGCCCCCAGCCCCGGTGTGGGAGCGCATCCCACATTTGTGCTGTTCTGGGGCAGCGAGGAGCAGTGTTAGAAATCAAGTTGCCTTCTTTAACCTGCCTGTCTTCTCACTCCTGACAGAAGAACGTTTATCTGTTGCCCAAGCTCTTCTCTGGGACAACAGGCCGACTGTACAAGGTTCAACAAGGCCAAGGGCTGGGTCCTGCCCTGGGGTCACAACCACCCCAGGCAACGCTCCAGGCGTGGGGCAGAGGGGCTGGAAAGCTGCCTGGTGGAAAAGGCCCTGGGGGTGTTGGTCGACAGGGGGCTAAATATGAGCCAGCAGGGTGCCCAGGTGGCCAAGAG